CATTTCCCCCAACCAAGGACCATGCCGTTTGCTCTTTCCACTTCCTGAAGATGATTGTGATGCTTCCTGGCGACTTCCCTATCTTTCGTAACATCTTCTGAAGCCAGGTGAGACGACGGGTGGTGGAGATTGACGAATGAAATAATGTAGTAGGTTTGAAAGTTTGCTGAAAATGTCTCAGGAGAGACGGCGACTTCCAAGCATCTTGTCCTGGAGGAAACCATTTCCTAGGCACAGTCAGCCTTGGGAAATGCATGAGAAGGGCGACAAATAGTTCACGGCACTAACAGCATTGAACACAGCACTTCTTTCACATCGTGAATACAATAAACCAATTGAAAATGACCAAATTCTGCAGTGATCGACCTTCTCTGTGGAGGAGCTAAGCCTTTCGTACGTCATCACTCCGCTGGTCGCTATGGCAACGTGAGCATACAATTGGCGATTTGGCAAGTTTGGCTTATCGTGTGGAAACGAGAGATATGCCATTCGAACCGATATCAAATTGTCTTTCTTCTGGACCCTACTCGAAAAATCGATGCACTTCCCCTTTAACCATCACCGAGCAACTGACCTGGGACCATCATATCCACGATGTTACAGCGAAGGTGAACAGGAAAGTCGGAGCATTGTGGCGAGCCCGGTGATCCCTTTCCCAGAAGGCCAGGGTCCAATACCTAAAATCCGTTGTGATGCCCGACCTATTATATGGAAGTGTGGCCTATAGCACGTCCCTCTCAGCTTTCGCTCTAGGGAAACTCCAACGTCTTCAGAACCGTGCCATCCGCGCTGTGTTCAGCCTACCACCCACATCTTCGGTAAGCCACCAAAGGGAGAGCATATTCCTCCGGAAAATCGAGGAGACACAACACCACCGACTCCTCGATCTCATCTGGCGCGGCCTGAACGGCCAATGTAGTACAGCGCTTTCAAAGCAGCTGACGCCCGCAACCACGGCCCCAACTCGACATCAAGCCAACGCCGGGCTCATTCTCCCGCTGGCCAGGACGAATACAGGCACTCGCCGACCGTTCTTCCGTGGACCTGCGCTGTGGAACACTCTGCCAGCCAGTGTACGTTCCTGCAAAGCCGTGGCCGATTTCGCAGCAGCCGTGTACCCGTACACTCTCAGGCCATAAACGTTTTTAAAAGAAGAGAAACAGTGACATGCCCCCCCCCCCCACACACACACACGGACAGTATGTATAGGGATATAACGAACGGTCTTTTCCTGTTAGCTCTGTTTGTCCAATACATGAGATAAAACGTCTTTCTTGTTGTTTTTCCTTCTCCATGTAGCTGCTTCCAGCATGGTACACGACAGTACCATGGCCTTTTCAGATTTTCATTGTACCTATTTGTAGTACCTCCCGGGATCAGTAGTAGTAGTAGTAGTAGTAGTATTCTTTTATTTTCCATCGGAAGCCTCAACAGTGATGAACACAACTCTTAAGAGGGCCGATAACAGAGTAGAGGGGTGTGGGGTATTTTCCACTTGAAATAACATCCACCCCAATGCCTCATTCTTAGCATTATTTTATTCGCTTCCATGTAATTGGGCTTATTGCCGGTTTGGTATTGCGAATTCAAATAAAAAAACAATAACAAAAAAAACAACCTGCCTGGTACGCGAACCCGTCAATTTGTTTGGGTATGATCGTGCATGTATTTAGCCTTACCCTTTAGATTGTTTTTGCATCGTCTCCATTGCTTACATTGTTTAATAAAGTAATCCAAATGTCGCTTCAGCTCGTCCTACTTATTGCCATGTTAAAATTATTTCAAAATTTTGAAGGACGCTTCACGCAGCTTCATTATACTTGTACTTGAATTGTTTGCAGGCAACCTGCCTACACTCAAGAGAGCACTGCATTTCACACAAATCCATTGGTATCGTTACAACGTTTCGGTCTTTATGACCATCATCAGGAATGAAGTGGACATGGAAAGAACAGCAGTATAAAAGAAGGAGGCAAGCAAGCAAAGCGCGGTACATAGTGACAGCGCGCGTAGAGAAGTGCAAAGCGCGTCATGGCGGGTGTGCATTACTACATATACATGACAACACAAGCACAAACGGTGAGGAAAGTAGATACTGCGCTACAGCAGTGATAACAGCCCAGTTCCAGTCTCACACCACCAGTGAGGTGTCTAGAGCCCCGCGCCACTCGCAGTAAGGTGGTGTTATAGCAGATCCCAGCCACTGTTATTGTTAATTTCCGGGGATCGCTCCCTGATATTGATGGCCTCCCGGATCCTCCTCCTGGGGCGGTCACGCTCAGAACCGAGAACCCGGATACCTGAGAAAGCCGTTGCTCCCAATGGCAATGGGTCAGATGCATGCTTGGCCGCGAAATGCTCACCCAGCGCGGTGCCGCTCACTGTGTTGCGTGCGTCGTCGTTGTGTTCTTTTGTCCTGGTAGCGAGGCTGCGGTACGTCTCTCCGACATATTTATCACCACACCTGCACTCGAGGTGGTATACAACATTTCGCTCCGTGCATGCCCCTGAACCGGACATGCAGGCGACACAAGCAGCTTTGGGCCGCCCCCGTTTACGGGGCCTGGACGGGTCTACATACCTGCGGCATGGTGGTTTGCCGAGGGCAGACGTGCAAATCATAGAACTTAGTCGGCGGTTCCTGTAAATCAGCTGGGCATTTATCTTGTACTTCCGGAGTAATTTATGAATTTTGTTGTGGATATACTCGGTGTGAAACGGTAGGTTAAAATTATTACTAGTATTATTCATTCTCACCTTCTTTTGTTGTTGATACACACACGCCACGCTTATACTTGAAGTAATTCTCATACCCTTGTTTTGAGCACACCTTTGTGAGACGTATCACACTTTGATATTTTAGTGCTGACATTGAACCCTGCTACTCTAGCTTGATTGCTATGATTATTATTTCCTTTGTTCTTATTTGTTCTTTAGTACAAGGGTGATTCCTGAAGAGTGTTGTACGGAAACTTATTCGAATCATCTTTATTTTCCATCGCTTTTTCTTCTTACATTGTATTCTCCTTACATGTAGATCGTTTTCGCATCGTCCCCGTCACTTAAAACATTGTTTAATAAAGTAATCCAAATGTCACTTCAGCTCGTCCTCCTTATTGTTGTCTCCTCGTCGAATATTTAAATAAGGAAATAACCCCAAGAGTGTGCAACTTTTTATTTATTTTTCAAAAAAATAAATAAAAAGTTGCACACTCTTGGGGTTATTGCTAGTAGTAGTAGTAGGCGGCATGCTTGGCAAGGAATACTCCATCTTCCTGAAGGCCTTGGTGTGCCAGATTTTGGAGAAGAATGCTGATTTAGCATATTCTGTTGTTGTGAGCCAGTTGCAATGCCGCCTTTCGTTGTGTTTGCTTCGGTGGTGAATAACCTGCCGGCGAGGCTCTCGGACATCATACCGGTCACGTCGATACAGTTTTGTGCATGATTGTCGGGTGATGTCTGGAGCATTAAGTGGTCCTTATGGTGGTATTAAACGTTATTTGCACAGCTGGTTTGCTGTTGTACGCCCATGCTGTATTGGTGTACATAAAGTTTAATGTGCTCTAACTACCGTGGCTGGTTAGACGGACCAATGACATTGTGTTCTGCTTGCTCTTTGCGTTGTAGTTTTCATCACTATTGATTTTCACATTGATTTCACGATCTATTTATTTTTGCCCATACAAGAGGCTTTATAAGTAGGCGGTGATGTCCGCATCCGGAGGCTTCAGTCGGGCAGCGGCGGCTTTGTACAAGCGTATTGCTAGTCTGCGCTCAGAAAAACAATATCAATCTTACAGCCATGCCATGGCTCTCGTGTTATGCATCGTGCTGCTGCTAATGAGGTATCCCACACTCTGGCAGTGTCGGAAGCCCACGCCTCACGAGAATAGTTGCCATTTCTCGCTTCCCTCCTGTGCGTTTGTCTCTTATCATGTTCTGGTTTGCATTCAATAATTTGTTTTGTACATTTTCTTAGGCTTATTTTTTTGGGAACACAGCCCCACGCTGTGTGATCAGTCGTGTTGAGAAACAAAACCAGTCCATGTAGTAGTACCTACATGTATATCTACAGTGCTGACAACTGAAATCCGACCCCGTTGCCGGCGCGCCGCGCCGGCATCGGGGTCGGATTTCAGTTGTCAGCACTGTACATGTACATGCACAACTGTACAATGTACATGTACATGATGATTGTATGAATGCATTCAAAAAATGGTCGGCGAGAGAGAAATTCTCAACATGGAAAAGCCTCTGGTTTCTTTACCTTTCATAAAGACTACTTACTAGTAGTTGTCAGAGGTAGTGACAACAACCGGTATCCTGGTCGGGTCCAGTAAGGTATGTAGAATAGACGTGTCGAATAAAATTACGGTGCCCAAAAGTCGGAACGAGATATTTTGCTGGACGTGGAAGGCTTTTTTCAGGGTTGGCACATTCGCGTGAACTGATTGCGTCTGACTCTCAGTGACAGTGTTTGTCGCACTTCGGTCTTCAGTGCTGAGGATGCTGTCGCTTCCCTCCACAAAAGGTGGCGTGAAGAAGTGCTAGGCTGCACAGGGCTTTGCTGTCTGTGCTGGCAAAGATTAAGTGTCACTTGATCACGCGCAGGGTGGCATGGCTCGGGCAAGTTCCCTGCACGAAACAAGATAGCAAAGCCGCAAAGCCCCGGATCGAGCATAATTATAACTGCTAGTCTGGGAGTGGGGGGTCTAGTCTTGATAGGCTGGGCTGACTGGCCATTGATTGTGCAGAGCTTTTTTTGACATTCTGATCTGGGGCAGAGCGTCGCCGAGCTGCCAAAATACCAGCGTTCCCTAATCGCATCAGGTTTAGCCAGGATTCGATTTCCAAACTCAGCTGGCACTTCATTTGCGGCGTGAGGTAGGCTCCCTTGGCCGCGTCGACATGATTGTGTGAGCCAGTGTGTAGACCATGGTAGACTGTGGCCCGGTGTAGAGTCTACAGCAGTACAGGCATCAAGAACTGCTCCAAAGTAAGTTTAGTTAGTAAAAGCAAGTCACAGTCATGAGCTTTTTCTTCATTTGTGGCTCCGCGCGTCTTCATTCAACGAGCGCTTGCTTTCAGACCTACGTCAAACAACTGGCCGGCTCTGTAGGGTCGGCACCATTCAGCTCATTCTTGTTAGCGTCCCCTTGCCCTGTAGAGGCGAGCGACGCAGCGCACCTGGTTCCACTTGAACCATTCGTTGAAGACACATTTATCGGTAAGTAGGTTTTGTAAATAAATCGATAAGTAAAGATGAGTGAGAGTCTCGATTCGCCTTTGGACGTTTGTGGTTTGTTATGAGTATGGAGGACTTTATCTGCTCTCTGTTCCAGGGATATCTTCACGACCCCGAGTGTTTCCGGAAAAGGGACCCAGGGACATCGGCGAGTGTTTCCAGGCCGCTCAAACAATTACGAACTGTTCTGCGTTCATGCCATTGCTCCCCCCTGTTTCGGAAGAAGGCCGCGCTTCATTCATCAGCATTGCTTCTGGTCAGTGATTACCAGGAATCTTCCACGCCCAACCTGTTTCCCAAGCGGGCTGGATCCTGTGGCTGTGGGCGGATGGTGTTGCTTCGTTTGGCGACCAAATGACGCAGTATAACGTTGCCAACGACTTATTTTGGTAAGTGGACCTCGATATCGAACCCACTTCTACAATCATGACATGATTGTAAGTATTAGGTAAACCTTGTATTGGAGAAAGATCATGTAGCTGTACATGCTCTCCGTCGGGGTCAATAGTACTCCACCCCGTAAGTTAGTTGTCTCTCTTCCTCTGCCCCCCCCCCCCCCCCACGCACGTACATGTATGCAGGCAACCAAACGAACGCCCGCATGCATGACCCCCCCCCCCACAAACACACACACACACACACACACACACACATACACACAAGCGCGCACACACACACACACCACGCACACATACACACACCTGTCCTAGACGGTCACATGTCCCCTCATACGGTGGACCAACAGATCGGTTGAGTACTATATTTCGCAAAGCTGTGGAGTTGGAAACCCCTCTTTGATCGGCAGCACCTGCCACATGCGTTGCAATGAGCCTGGCAGCAGGGTAGTGATAGCTGATTCCTTACCAGAACTGGTACCGCCGCAACCGAGTTGGGCTCAGACATTGAAGGGCCCGCCACTGGGCACGTAGAGCGATCGTTGCCGGGTAGACACTTATGGAAAGCGAAGCCTCCGGCACTCCTGAACCATCTCTTACACGCCCAGCATTTCCTGCTCCCAATCTGATCTGCGATCTGCTTGCTGCGCTCCTCTTTGCACTTTACACACACATACACATACACACCTCAGACCTGCCCATCGCAGAAGCGGTGACAGCAAACAGCTATGTTAAACATAGCAACTTGTGCTTGACACACACACACACTCGCTCGCGGGCACACGTGCCCACTCCCCCCCCCCCCCCCCCCCCCACTCCCACACACACACACATACCCAAGAACATTCAGGCATCTGAACACTAGAATTTTTTTATGGAAGTAAAATTCATTGGTTTGAGGGGAAGACGCAAGCGTGAAAAGCCTGAAGAAAACAATTGGCTATCACCACCAAAACTGAAACCAGGTTCCCTCGCTTGAGGCCAACGATGCCGTGCCACTAGGCTATAGTGTAAGCGTCATCTCAGCAGCGACAGTACAGCATTTTCTTCCGACTTTGTAACTCACACTTCCTGTGAATCCACACAGGCGGGTGGGGCGCAGCCCTTAACTGTAACCCGCACACTTGACGTACAAACTAGCACGCGGGGAGCCCCAAGTCCATGACAAATCCATTTGCGGCTTCGGCACTGAATTTGATTTTCAATAACTCTTGTCCCATCTCCTATGCGATGGATGATTTCAATTGATTTGATTTATTCTAGGCATGGATACCATCCACAGAAGGATCATCAAGTCCAAATCTCTTATTCTGCGGGAAAGTGTCTGCATCAATGAACAGTTTCTGGTCTTCCTGGCTGCTGAGTCTATAGCCAAAGAAGGGGATATCGAGTACATCAAGTACGTCGGAGACGGAAATAGGCACAGAAATGGACCAGAAAAGGTAATACTGTAAAGAGAGAAACTTTCGCTAGAGATTGAACTTCGCTATGTTTGCGATCGTCACACATTCGCGAATATCCATCCGTAGATCACCGTGAACTGCTCTGTACATTGATTGTAGACTGTACAAGATTCAATTGAAGAGGTCTAGCCGCGATGGTTTCTCACCATGAACCGGCGCAATTCTTGAAAACGTAAAATTGTGGCACCACGAAGGTTTATCGCCATCCAATGGTTTCTCGTTTATCGATCTCACAGACTGCATAGGCCATACAGCGTTGCACAACAGGTACTGTTGTAGATCAGAGTATTATCAGGTGCTTTGACAGTGTGATTAGCTCTTGTGTTCAGCCCAACTTCAAACACAAGGCATATGGAGCGCATGACGGTTTGCAGCTGCTTGCCTGAAATATTTTACATGCATGGACTTGCCAAGCGCTAAATTAACTATCGATGCACCTATTCACAAGGCCATCAAGGATGTGCAAGGATAGCTTTTCATTTACGCAGACAGAAGAACGAGCAGTTCGTGACAAAACGGCAATGGCTAGTTCTTCTGTCTGTGTATTCTGCTTGGCTTCGGCGAATTGAGCGCTCTACCAACCGTGGATGAACATCGCATGGTGCATTTTGATGTAGTGAAATTTTAAATGATACGGCTGCCTGTTTTGATTTACGTGTGCATTACAAACCCAGATGGTGAGCCAAGGAAAAAATGGAAATTAAACCAGATTTTGAACAGACTGACTGTTCAAAATCTGGTTTAGTTGGTGGACTCGATCGCATAACTTGTGCCCATAATATCCATGTTACAATTTTTTTGATTCAATAATGTATTATTCTGACTGGTATGATTGTGTACCTGCAGGTGGACAAGACTCTCGAGGTCGTCTGTCGCGGAGGCAAGACTGCCTTCTACGTGTTATGCTGTGCATTGGAGGCGACAGGTTTGTCCTACAATATCCAGGCAGCCGAGTTACTGAGAGCCGAATCTGAAGGTATGACTATATGTCACATTAATTAATACCATTCTTACAAATTCTCTTTCCAATCACTGCCAACAGTTTTCTAGTTGAAGTACGAGGTGGAGACGGAATTTTTCAATGGAAAAGGAAATGTCTAGCTTGCATACTCATGACACATGAGCATAGAAGTTTTGGGGCACTCCACTTAACTTCATTAGTAAAAGTGGGTTGTGGGCAATGCTGGCTCATCGACTTTAATCACTACATCGCAGAAATCCTTTTCCGGAACTAGATTTGTGACGTGCAGTAGTTGAATGCGAGACAGTATTGCTCACAACTCACTTTTACAAAAATGAATTTTCTTGAAAGTATCACCTGGAGACGTATAGCAGAATGTAGTGTGTTAGGCATTGCCAAAAACATGGCAGACTTTCCCTTGCTCCAACTAGGCTGCTGTCCTTGGCCCGGATTCATCTCCGCTCTTGTCAACTGGTGTCCTGCAACTTATTTTCATCGTTCTCATTGTGTGCCGTCTCCACACACTGCCTCCTTGTATAAGCATTTGCCTCTTGTTCTACGTGACATCACGCGCGACAGTACTACCGGAATAAGTCGTCAATTAGTGCATCGGGTTGGCAACCATTGCAGGGACATAACGTACCTAACAATGTCAAACTGCGGCACACCACTGGGAAGGATTGCAACCGACCCTCGGCCATCGCCAGGGGCGCAAGGCATTGAACGGGCGATGCTTCACTGAGCGCGTTCCTCCTATGCACATAATGGCTGCCAGAAGCAACGCAAAGGACAGCTGACATCGCAGCTATGCCATCACTTGCGCAACAGCATGCAATGCTGCTATTTCGAGGTCGTCCATACTTGCACTTGATGCTTCAACATCGGCATCGGGATTCCTCGTTTTCTGGCTGCAGGGCATGGAAGAACAAGGCGAGATACAAGCATTGCTAACATTTCTAGCTTGAAGACTAAAGAAGGCTGAAGGCTTCAATGTTGTTTGAGCCTGAACATGCAACAGCAACAAGTTGTTCTTCTCCCGATATTACTGTTGGAATGTAGAGTGGCCTGTCATGGGTATTGTAGAAGACCTTAAAAATAATTAATGAAATGTTTTAACGAGAATTACTGCCTGAACATTAAGAATTCCATGATTCAGGCGTGTAGTCTCGCACCTATGATTGAAGAGGGATGGTGGAGTGCCCTTGAGAATTGTGCGATTCATTTTCCGATCATGGGATTAGATTTCAAAGTATCCCAGTGTGGCCATGATTTGCTAAGATTGGCTCCGAGAGAAGATTTTGCCACAACAGATCCTGTCCCCATTCCACAGACCATTTTCTGTTGTCTATGTTCTGCCCTGTTCTGTGTGAATGTCCAGCCTGGACTTGTGAGAATGTGGCGGATGACGATGTGGAGGATAACTGTGATGAGATGGACCGGCACATGCATCGTGTCAGACGTTTCCATCGACAGGAGCTGCTCGTTCGGGCTCGTGCCATGGACACGGAGAATGGCGCAGTGCACGAACACCAGCAATCTGGATTATGCACATCACGGCGAAAAGAGCGGATGAACATACCTGTTCCGAAACCGTCCAAAAAGAATGTTATCAACACAATGCGTAGGGTTCAGCAAGGTAGGTTTTGGCATTAAAAATCCAACATTGTGAATTGAGAGTCAATGTCTGTAACGACTCACACTGCTCCTTTGGGAGTTTGTTTTCCCTGTGCCTGTGAGCGGCAGTGTTAATAGTAGATTTGTGTACTGATATTACCTCATAGCCTCATATCATCACCATTATTTATTGCATCTCTCTTATTGGCCAACGGCCACCGTGAGAAATAATAATAATATAATAATAATACTCCCTGGAGTGTGGCGAGGAAAGAGCTGGGGTGCATATTTCACTTACCTTCATGCTGCTCCTGGTGTGTGTGTGTATGTGTGTACGTGCATGTGTGTACGTGTTTGGGTGTGAACGTGTATGTGTGTGCGCATGTGTGTGTGTGTGGGGGGGGGGGGCTTTTGTGTGTCGGTGTATGCGTGCGCATGTGTATGTTTGCAGAAAAGCTGGGAATACTTCAATCGGAGATTGACCGCATGGGTTGCCTAGCTGACCTAGCAAGGAACGGTTTGTCCGACGTCACAAACCACAGTATTCATCATGACTCCGATAGGGATGAGGCTGCCGAGGATGAAGACCGACCAGAACAGCAAAGTGTTTCAGGTCAGCACATAGCTGAGTTTACTGGGGTATCTTACTTTGGCCTTACAAATCCGCTGTGTAGACCTTTGTTAGGTATCCTCTTCCGTACATTGCCTCCTTGCGCATCATTTTCTTGCTGGCCTGCACCCCGTACACAGCTTCCCGTAATCGTGTATAAACCTTCTGTTTCGGCATCTTCTCTAGCGCCCTTTTCTTCCCTTTCTCTCGCACTGTACTTGTACATATGCACTCGTATGTCCAGCCCTGTTCATACCACTTCCAGGACTTTGAGGACTGTGCGAGTATTAGTTCGAGCAGCAAATAAGCGCTTTGGGTCGGTTCCACCGAGCACAAACTGTTCATGCCGAGCCCAGCTGAGTACAATATCTTGTCTAAAATGTTTGTTATTTACAGTCAACTTTGCGTATAACGACACTCGGCTGGACATCAGAAAAATGTCATTTTTCGTGAATTGCCCGTATACCCGTAGTCTCTATATTTGTATTACAGTTAGATGGGACTTTGCTCTGGGCATGGAGATTCTGTCGTTATTCACGAATTGTGGTTATATCCGCAGTCGTTTTTAGCGAAGTTGACTATGTGTACCTTCATGGTGAGGAACCTGATTTGGTTTTTGCTCCATAGTGTACCAAAGGAACACGTGAAAGGTACTGATGGATAAACACATGTTTGTTACGCATTGTTCACCTGCAGATAGCAAACAAGATGCCAGGCATGCGAGTCGCACGATGCCCTGTCTTCTCGGCATGTCGTGCACCGGCCAACGAGACGACATGGTCGAGGAGGAGGCTGAGCAGGTCCTGGCCTACCTGAAGTGGGCAGGTGCGGTGAGCAAGAACGCCCGTGTTCGCAAGCACCAGTGTGTCATGCCTGTAACCGTGGTAACCCTGGAGGATACTGACGGCACGCTGAAGACATTTGATGGTGAGCTGGGCATTTAGCAGGGTGATCTAGTGTCTCACATCCACTGTCTATTGTGCATAGCCAGCAATCGCATGTCACCACGTACTTTGAAAATCAACATAATTTTTCGAATCGACCTTTTTTTCCGGATCACTTTTCAACGAGGACGAAGCAAAGTCGGCCGAACGAAGCCTAGAGGAAGAAAATCACCCTCTCCACTTCACCATCACGATACTGACATAGATACGAGATGAAACAACTAAAAAATCCACAAGAAAACTGTACGGCCATCATCGCGTTGACTTTGGTCTGACTTTTGTCTGAGAATTTCTATCACGATCAAACATGTACGAGGAGCACTCAAAAATAAGCCACAGACGTACCTTTATCGCTCTCTACTCCTTTTTCAAGGCACAAAAGTCGACTCTCCACTTTCAAACCAGGAACCAGACATACCAGTGGTCCTTTTCAGCTGCTCCACGAGCGCAGGAAATGTTCACCAAGGGGCGCAGAGCAGCATCCATTCCAGAAAAAGAGCTAAAATACGAGTGAGACTGCATGACTGAGTACATGAGTACATGAATGAGTACATGCAGAAAATAGTCAATTTCAGCGTTTCTGCTCCAAACAGCAACTAGCTTCGACTAGAAACAAAGATTACACCAAAGGATCAAACAACAACCAGTTTCTGCAGTTTTTTTGCAGATGGCTTCCTTGTGCTTGGCCCAGCACGTCAAAAATCACACCTCGGAGGAGTACAAAAATTACAACTCTCAGATGTCCTCGATTGCTGGCCATGGTGTCTTGGAAATGGCTGGGCATTTAGCAGGGTTATCTAGTGCCTCACGTTATCTGTGGTATGGCTGGGACTTAGTAATGTTATCTAGTGTCTCATACTATCTGTGGTATGGCTGGGACTTGGCTGGAGATGTAGCATGGCTATCTAAAGTTTTACCTTATCTGCGGGATGGCAGGCACTTGCATGGGGAGCTATTTGGAATACTAGCTGGGAACTACAAGTTTATACAGTGCTAGGCTTCCACTGCACACTTTGAGTATTACACAGTTTGACATTCAGATTCGCTGATGAGAAAACCCACCTTCGAGGGAGAGAGTCAGAAAACTCACCCTCAAATGTTGGTATGGTGTAGATACGAGGTAGCAGTCTTTTTTCGGCCTAGTAGTCTGCTGAAGTATGTAATCAAGCACGTTCTATTATGATCGCTGAATCTTGCCCGAGCCTGCAGCCCAACGTCTGCAGGCACGAGGGCTACAGGCAAGGGCAAGATTCAGCTATCATGACAGACAGACCGTCCTTGATTTTAATTCCTTCATCACAAAGCATAGGTAAGGTCACAGGTAAGCATACTAGGAAAAGTATTTTTTTTGTCAAAAGTTAAAGGAAAGTCTCTTTCTTCTGGATGGCCATCGGATTAAACATCTCATCATCCTCGGATATAGACTCAGCGCTATGGTTGGCAAAAGAGCAGCCGTCAGACATTGTCCAGGTTATGTCTTCGGGAAGTAGAAACCTAGAAGACACCATCGTTCGTTCATCGCCAATGAAAAGCAGGTTGACTCCTACAAAGCTCATATATTTTCTCTTGGCCTGGATCGCCTGGCAAAGTGCTAGCGTCCAATAAGCCTTTTGCGCGTTGTACAGATGCACGAAGTCCCGTAGAACCTAATGGGTGTTGAATGTGCAGGACCCTATTGTGTTTTCTGCTATTTCCACTAAGAAATGGGGCCTGAAGGCTTTTCAAACGAAAACCTTTTTCTGACAAAGATCTAGCTAGTCATTAGTTCTAACCAAAGTGAAGAAGTTGGAAAAGGGATTGTTTCCCATTAATTATGAGCCTAAAATTGGTCAAATACGCATGCATAACACACAATGAACACCCAATCAGGGCTGTACACACCTAGGCCCTAGTACTGAACTCCGTACATCTGTACAACGCGCAAAAGGCTTGTTGCATGCAGTTGGATGGGCTGAAACCATGGTGCAAAGTCAACCGGTATGAGGAGTAGTTCATCAAATCATCTATCATGATTATTCTCAGGCCTATCCAGCTGTTCAAATGACCAGATATCCAGTGAAAAGACAGGAGTACTGGTTGCATGGGAAGATGTTCAGTGAAGGGAACGAAAATGTTCAATGCCTCAATTATGAGAAGTGTTTTCTTGACTGAATGGGTGATATATTTTACCACAAAAAAAGCGCATTTGGCAGCGAAGAATGAGACATTTGCGATTGTGTGGATACATACGACCACTGCTTGCTTCCCTCTACTGTAAGAAAGGTGATTCTAACGAGTAAACGAATTTGAAAGAATCGTTAACTTTTGAAGTCGTTATGTGCAAAACGAGGTATACATGTACAGTCATTTGCCGGTTTTGAGACAGAATTCGTTAGAATTCCACCCTGCTAACCCACAAAATCCAGAGATCGTTAACTTTAATTGACGTTATAATATTTGGTCTTACAGTATAACAATGATATTTGATTCTCAATGTTAAGGACAAGGATCCGTGCTTGTCAAGCTCCTTGCCGACTTTCACTACAAAAGCAAAAGTGGCCATCGGAAACTAGTCGATCTCTTTGTCTCCGAGCTGGAGGATGCTCTCGGCGGCTGTCCGCTGAACCTGCAGGGCTTTCACGAGCTAGCAGACAAGACGGTCTTGTTCGTGCAGATGCCTGGTGATACGCTACAGCAGCTGTACGACTTGCTCGTCCACAACCCTGGCCGCCTGAGCAGCAAGACCATCCTTCAAGTGTCCACGGTTGACGGCGCTACAGTCCTGAGCACCGAGACCACCACACCGACAAGCAGCAGTACAGCTCATTCAGGTATGACCGCATAGAGGGTATTTTATTGATTTATTAAACTCAATTGTGTGGCATGTGCACGCAACTCTAGTGTGAGGAGGATCCCCAGAGAAAAGGGGTGATCCCCAGCCAGGGCAATAATACAAGAGAAAAACAAGAAAAAGTGGATTGGGGGGGGGGGGGCGTTATGTTATTACATCGTCGGTTGAGATGCGTTGCCGAAGTGACTGCACGGCAGTGCTCCATTTGGTCTTGCACTAGCAACTCGCGGTGCATACTTCCTCCGTGTCATTAAAATTGTCACTTCCCAGAGCGATTTTTCCAATCTTTTTGTCCACTCGAAACGAAGAAATCAGCTAGAACTTGAAGCAAAACATTGTCTAAGCTTGGGTTTGTGGCCTCTCGATTCGCCGCACTTACGGCTGAGGTCGACGTCTCCATCAAAATTTGAGGCAGACACTTCAGCACTCAACAAGACGCTGAACAAGAAGCGCGTTCAAATTCAGATACTGAAACTTCGTTTTAAAACGCGCGCGCGCGCGCACACACGCACACACACACACACACACACACAAATACACACACACACACACTGTCGATTTGCGTCCAATGCATGTGCCATCCAAACAGGCGACGCAACACCAAGACACGATCACAGCATTCAAGTCGATTTTTTTGTTTGCCACAAGTTTTTTTTCATAGCGTGACTTCTAGCTCCTTGGTCCTTTTTCATTTTTTATAAGTTATTCAAAGCTTACCATTGCACGTTTATTCTACTTGGTCCGCCCAGTTACAATTGGCGCTTATCTTCACACTTGTTTCAGGAAAGAAATACGACTATTTGAAGCAAGCCACGATCACAAAGCACTATATATATGATTTTTACATGTCTGTAAGCACCTCAGTCGAAAATTCAAGCAAGTTACACATCCTCCTCTCCACTATCCTCGCTGGAGGAAGAGGTCAAAACGTTCAATCCGGACAGCTGCTGCACGTGTCGTTTCATAGCTTGTTCCACTTCTCCTCGTCTCGAATCACGCTCAAAGGCAGTGCGTGCCTGTCACCTTGCCGATCAGAAGCTGAGTGAGACTGCCTGCATGTTGACTGTAAGTGTTATCCCCGTTCGTTGCAATAATGCGTCTTTGTTTGAGATAAAAAGGAAATGCCATATCAGTGTCCTTTTTGCAAATCCCCTCTTGCGCTTGTCGTACTTGCTGATCAGCACCCACGCGAGCCGCTGGTGCTTGTACATGCAGTGCAGTGATAGCTTCCGCTTGATGTAGCACCTGTGCGTACTGCACCTAAGTCCTAACGCCGTGCACCAGCCTTTTCGGCTAGTTTCTAGAAAGTCCTTTGCATGAGTGTTTCCCTCAGGACTTGGTGTTTTATTTGATTAGCGCCTTTACCCTGTCCACTGTGAGATTCAAAGTGTGTCCGCCTGATTGGTCTCACTTACTGGAGATGTCGACATGACCTGCTGTTTCTTCGTCAGCTATTTGCTGGTGAAAGCCCTTCACTAGGCGCTGTACTGTGCAAGCACTGAAATTCAAGCTCACGAAGCCCTTTTTCAGCTTTTCTATACCTCCCCGGGGTAAACAATCCCTGCCATCAGACAGCTGGAAGTAGACAGAAACTGTATACTCCATCGCTCTAAAATGCGAACATCCTGACCTATTTTACGGACTCGAGCGGAGGTTGCAGTGTTTTCTTGCGGTGGCGGAAGTGTTCGTCGGCGGCAGCTCCGTCAAAAAGACTCAAACGAACCGATCGCAACTTCTGTGATGGTTTGTGCTGCCATGTCGTCGGATGTAATGGTCAATGGTTATGTTCGGATGGTGAATCGGTGGTTCCATGCCGTATGACACAGGCAGAACACAGAAAAACCAAGTGAGAAGATAAGCGCCAATTTTAACTTGGCGGACCAAGTATGAATTGGTATTCCAGCCAATAAAACTCTGAACGGTACAATTCGGCTGTTTCTGTTAAAAATACAGAAAACTGTCCTCCTCCATTCACGTTAAAGCCGACCATGGCTACCCAATGGCTACCAAGGGTAGCAATGGTCGGCTTTAGAGTGCATGGACGAGGAGAGTGGTATTCCAGCCGGTGATCCTTCATGGAGAGCACAGTGTGCTGCGTCCCTAACAAAACATAACACACTGAACGTCTTCTTTTCTTTCTGTGCAATTATTTCCTTTTCAGAGACGTCATGTGAAGACGAGGAGCAGATTGGAGAGATTCTAGCAAAGGTGAAGGAATCAGCGGACGTACACATTGAGAAGATCGAGCAGACGATTCGGCGTGGAGCATCATTAAACGAAGTCGTTCAGGAGCTGTACACAATGTGTGACGACGAAGATACCAGCCCATCAGCTATCAGTGCCATCCACAGTGCAACTGAGAGTAAGCCTTGCAGGATAGCACAGGTGTAGGGCACTTGATGTGTTTACCAGTCCATGATGATTGTGCATGTACACCCTTATCAGTACTGTGACTCCTGAAAGCACTCCCACGCATCCACACACACATGCAGGCGCGCACGCACACACACACACACACACACACACACAAATACACACACACACAGGCACACACACACATGCACGCACACACACACACACACACACACACACACACATACACACACACACACACACACACATGCACACACACACACACACACACACATACACACACACACACACACACACACACAAACACACACATACACAAACACACACATACACAAACACACACACACACACACACATACACATACACACACACACACACACACACACACACACACACACACATACACACACACACACACACACACACACACACACACACATTTGCTGTCGATTTGCTTCCAATGCATGTGTACATACATGCCTCTCGGTGTCGGAATATTGCACCAATCTGCATTGTACTTGTCCGTTTCCCTCTTCCCATTTAAATACCTCAGGTACAATAAGAACAGGAGAAAGGTATGAACAGCTCAACAGCCTGTTTACAACCAGTGGCACTTGGAGGAGGCGTCCGCACCGTGATGAAATGAACAAGGTAATTTTGTCAGGCTTGCACATACACATACAACCGAGGCAAAATGCTGTATAGCTGTGACTTTAAGTTTCACGCATTTCAGCGATCATCAGACAGCGGCGCTCACATTCTGGCCATTTAGTTGGACACGTGTATGTGAACCTGTGGTAAAGAAATCTAGAAACAAACATTAGTGGGCACTGCTTTTGATTGCCCGTGGTACGTGTGTGTAATATGCATATGAAGAGCTGACATGCAAAACCTGCTTAATCCATTTCTTCACTTTGCGGATAATGGCCAAAAATGTATTCATTTTTTGTGAGCTTGATATCTAAATCCAAATTTGGGTTCCAGTTTTGAATTGGTTCTAATCAGATTTCAGAATATGAAATTTTCACTGGTGATGCCTCTCGATTTTTGATTGCACTGAGCTCAAAATCTTATTTCCTCAAATTTGGCGTTTATTGGGTTCTGCATGTCCGCTCTTCGTATTCGTATGCAATTAAGTAGAATTTAAAGCGTACAACAAAAACATTGCAGTACTGTCGAGGCATGCGGCCCAAGACAATGATAGCCGTAATAATAATAATAATAATAATATTTCGGTGTTCAGTGTAGACGCAAAGCAACTAATGTGTGATTTCTGACACTGCAGCGCACTATGTCATCGGCTGTGGGTATTGATTCGGCAGCAGCTGAAGATGGCCTGTCAACGGTGGGTATCGATCCAGCAGCAGCTGAAGACGGCTTGTCAACGCAGGCATCGGACCCCTCACCAAGTGAAAGTGATGCTTTCGCGAACATGACCGCAACAATGGATGCGCATGGCCGCGATGCTCCTGCCAAAACGAAAGACCCTGCCGTAATCAGTCCAGATGGTGACAGCCTGCCTGCTCGTGACACAACAGAAGAATCTCCGCCAGGTTCGGTCTCTCCTAGGCACGCTGTGTCTCCAACCCTGGTGAGGAACTAACGTGTTTTCAAGTTCATGTGCGCAAAATTAGTTCCCCTGTTTACGGAGGGCTGACTGTTTTTGATTACCCATTTTAATCAGCAATAGCCAATGTTTTAAAACTCTCGACTTAGCTTCAGTTAAATGACTCCTGTCTAAAAGATCTGAACAGTTGTTGAGAATTGTGAGTAATCTGCATCTGAAAACCTAGACTGTGTGTACGTATCAGTGGGCGCAAGTTGAACCAAACTCAATGGTGAGAATTAGCTAGCGATAGCAGGTACAGGTTCATGACCATCAATCTCCTCTGTTCATTGCTGCAGGATACCGAAGGGGACAACCTCAGCGTATCAAGCGATGCCAGCACAGGAAACAGCAGACCATCTTCGCCCTCGGCCTCGCAATCCTCCGTCACCAGTGAAAACTCCTGCTGTGTACGTCTTTCCTATTTAGTGCTGTGTAGGACTGTGATGTGGTTGCATGAGTGGAGGCTGCATTTCACCTATCCTCTAGCTGGAGAATTGTCGCTAATCCTCTGAGATTCGTATAAGTTGGTCATCACCGCTTCGGGTTTTTTCAATTCTTTTTCTTCAGGCGCCAACGGAAGCGCAAAATGAGGATGAAAAGGATGATGTAGCAGCGTGCAGCGTAGGGGAATCTTCTGAACATCTCTACGCCAAGGTGGTGAGTGAATTACAGTGCAATATAGGATAATTCACTTGCATGCTACTGTGAAGTTAAAGTTATTACTGTAGAACGGGTAATTCTAGCGACTATTAATTTTAGCGTTTTCCCATTGTCAACCGGTTAGCGACGTTTTATTTTAGTGATTTGCAGCGATTTTACTCACGGATCACCAGTGCACTACTAATGTCTCAACGGATTAGCGACTTGAAACTTTAGCGAAAATGAGTCGATCGCTAAATTCGCTAGGGTTTTTACGTCGCTAAAATTCCCGTTCTATAGCACTCCATTGGATCATTGACACTCTATGGGAGAGTTTGATGCTAGGTGATTTCGTTCAAATGGCATAGTATAGGGAGTGCAGAACTACAGAAGTACGATAATCGTGTAGGTGTGATATGATTTGCTTTTCCAGCTTCATCACTTTGGATAGAGCTAATGGATAGCCCCCTTTTAGGAGCTGCATCTGCGCCTTGCTCATTGAATCGGTGGTGGCGTCCGTCAAAGCCGTTGTATGAAAGGCCATCTGTCAGAGCACGGCTCAAAGTCGCAATACCGATACACAAATAGGCTCCTGCACATTGAACACTCCACCAGTTCGACATGATGCTACGGGATTTGGCACACCAGTACAATTTGAATACACCCTTTGAATACAGACAAATTTGTATTTATTCCCCTCTCATTGGAGTGAGAGGGAGAGAGCAAAAGATAGACACAGAGACATGGTATAGAGATAGTGCCTACGTTCTGTGTGGAATTGTTTGGCGCATTTGTGTTTACAAGCACTTTGATGTTTGCACGTGTAAACCTGTGTGTTCTTTCTGTATGTGCGGTTGTGTGTGTGACCTACATCCATTTCTAGAGCGAGAGCCCTGAGGTCTCCTCTGAACCCGAATCAGACCTGGACTCCTCTAATACCGCACCTTCAGTTCTTGTTGTTGCATCGTCGGAGAAAGACAAGCCGGTAGGTTCCATTTTTTCAGTTGAACTTGAGTAGGCTGAGGGAGATTGTGTCTGAAGAGCTCTGCGCTCTGGATGGCAATCGACAAGTCGGTTCTGCGGAAAGGCAGGAGCTCCGCTGTGGGTAGCAACCAACATACATCAACGTCCTCCTGGTCTGGACGATTGCGGTCGTAGCGGCTCAATTATAAAGCGCTCACGTTTCTGGTGTGTTTCTGGAGCATGGGGATTTAAGAATGATCATGTCGAGAGTGATTAGGTGGATAATGATCATGTGTGTATTGATCATGTTGAGAATGCCATGGAATGGTGTTCTCTGCTTGCTGTACTATAACCAGCATGAGCGTGTACCGGACTGATGTTAGGGTGGCATGGGTTCTTCTTTTCTACAGAGTGAACCGATGGTGCAAGGAGTTGAGCTGGAAGCCGGCACGGATGTTCTGTATGATACTGCGGTAAGTGTTCTGTGTGGCTGGTGAGGCATCGATGTCTAGTTAGTTACCTGAAAGCCACCTGCTTGCAGCTCTACATATTCTGCGATGGAGCTGTATCTTCTTTCGGCACAGTGTCTGAGGGCTGTGTGCAACCTGTCTTTGTCAATGTTAAGCAAGCCTGGACTTGGTTGAGCAATCTTTCTGGTTAGCAAGTTATCTGCCCTGGTGCTAAGCTCGCTGTGTTCATTGTAGCTGGAGCGCTCTGATTGTTAATGCTTGGGCAAGTTTAAACATGATTTGTGATTCTTTGGATGTCATTTTAAATGATTGGTTCGGCCTGTGGCTCTGAGCCCCCGTGATGAGATCCTGTAAAGATCTTAACAGCCAACTCTCCGGAGATTGATTTGGGATCCTCTTGATGAGTTTGGATCGTTGTTCTCCTCTCTCCAAGAGCTTTCTACCGAGCCAAAGATCGTGAAAATCGGTGAAGCACAACTGATGTTATGATGGAAAAGCAAACAATTAGTAGTCAAATTATTGTAACTTGATTTGACCAGTGGCACTGTAAAGGGTTTTAAGAGTCAGCCTGTTTAAAATCACATGTATGGCACACAATGTCATGTGCAAATTCATGGCCCATTGGTGCCTGCGTGCTCCTTGCTAGGTGGAAACTGGCATGCGAAGCCGCGGCGTGGCTATTCGAACCAGGGTGCGAAAGAGACAGGTGAGTGATGTTACCTTGGTAACTGTGTAGTAACTGAGATTTGTGTACTCTGAAATCTGCTGAAAATCTTGAGGGGACTCGAGACGGCTGCCAGGGGCCTTTTCTTGGTAACTTTGTCCTATCTGAGATTTGTGTGCTGATCTGAAATCTGCAAGTGATTTAGATGAAAATCTTGAGGGAACTCGAGATGGCTGCCAGGGGAGGTTTTCTATAGGCTAGCAGTCTTCTGCCAGTGACCTAAAGGGGCTTACACATTCCTGGTCTCATCTGTGCTCCAACTGTCCTTTTTAATAACAGAACACGGCAAGATTGCAGGAGAGATCGGAGAAGGGCTTAATTGAATCGGACAAGGTGGACATGAGTGTTAAACTTGAGAACCAGCTGTAAGTTTTACCTTTTGAACACGCTCTCACCTTTCTAGGTGAATGATTCTCTGCTCAGCAGAGATGGCAATCATTTCATTTGAAGAAAGGCTGGGCTGTTTGCGAGGTGTGATGTCTTGGCTGGGCAATACCTTTTCAAGGCATAGGCCAACCAAAACGGTTAAAAGATGGTCCTTACTCGATTTTATAGGTTTGTTGGAGTCCGAAAAATTGTGTGAGCTTGATTTACTTGTTGAAAATTCACATCGCGTATTCTTTTGTTTCGTTTACAGTTGGTACCATGGATGCATGAGTCGCAAATCAGCCAACGAGAAACTTGCCGAAGTCAGTCTTGGGCATTTCCTGGTCCGAGACAGCAATAGCTATGAGGACACATACGTCCTTTCAGTGAAGTGAGTTTCATAATGGTAGATGATTGCAGTGACCGGACGAGACCACACAACGCTTGCAGGCACCAGTGCGAACACTTCACCAGCCACACTCCACGACAGCTATAAGTTGCTCCTGACAAGCCTTGTTTCGTTCCATTATAATGACGAGAATTCATCAGAGTGTGGCTGGTGAAATGTTCATGCTGGTGTCTGCAAGCGTCCTGTGTTCTCATCTGATCATAAGACAAATCTACCCCTACTATTGATGGACAGACCAAATGAAGATGGTAACAACAACAATACTTATGGAGTAAGTTTCATTGGCAGTTTCGGTTTTCGACCTTGCCTGGATCGGGTGTTTCTTATTGAGCAGCATTTATTTATTTATTTTATTTCAAGCAATACATGGCTGGGGTAGCCAATGACCACTTTGCGTGGCGATTGCAGGGTTTTTATAGCCAACCATGGCTAACATGGAAAAGAGTAAGAAGTCAAAAAGAAAAGGAAAAGAAGAAAGAAGCAATTATGGACTAAAATTGTGGTCTACTGGTAAAGCAAGGTGTTCCTGAACGCTGTTAAAGTAGAAAGGCCCTTTGTCTCCTGGTGCAGCTTAAGCCAATGCAAATAGCCATTGAAAAGGGGGGAGTGTAGCAATGCAGAAGAGCGGGCTAGAGGAAGGGAGAGTTGGTTCCTAGTGGAGTTATCCCGTCGGAACCAGTCACATGGTTTAAGATGCGGGGGTATTTTGGAAAGTCGAATACGATGGATAAGACAGCACATCATGATTCGTCGTCTTTCTAGGAGAGGTCTGGTCGAGGATAACATATAGAGAGCGACACTAGCATGTCGGTGGGGGTGGTGGTGGGTGAACTAAGACAGTACTCTATGTCATTCGTCCTTGTGCATCTGCCGGAAATACATCTGTAGCCAGGATGAAGAAATGAAGAAATATCGTTCGTACAGAAAACAAGCAAGGCCAGCATAGTTGCTCTATGCAAACTCTTACCAACAAGTGGGTGCTTTTTCTGTAAACTGCTCAACTGGCGGTATCTTCCAGATTTTACAATGCTAAGAATGATGAGGACACAGTAGGGAATGCTGAAAATGAGCAGGGAAAATCAGATGCTCTTTTGTGATATTGTGTTTCTTTCCAGGGCTGGCGATCACCCAGTGCACCTCACAATTAGCTGGGATAGACAGCATTGCGGCTTTGGCTTGCGCGACGGCAAAAACTATTACAAAGCGGTGCCAGAGCTCATCGCTGCCTATTTCAGTCGGCCGGTTCCTAATCAAAGAGATGCAGTGCCAACAACGCTGATTTTTGGCATTCGACGAGTAAGAGAGGTAAGAGAAGTGAAGCAAGCACTGAGCTCAACGCACCGCCAAAGAGGATTTACCGCATGCAGGGCAGCAGGAAACTGCCTCTCTGACAGTGCAGTATAGGTGTGGTGTGCGGCCGTGCATGTATCATCAGTCAGAAAAACACTCGAACTCTTGGTGAACTGTGTGATGTCCGCTGGTAGCACGACAGGCATCTGCAATGCATTCATAACCCCTACTCTACTCTAAGGGAATCCCCGAAAAGACCACCCCAAAGAATAGTCTGCCTGGACCCATTCACCGAGGAGAATTCAACAATACTGTGTTGTGTGGAAAACATTTTTGGGGGATTTAAAAAAGAGGTTCCAACTGTGTCTACATTATGGTGAGTACCAACCCTCTCGAATTTATGCTAAAAATGACTGCATCGCCATCTTATTGGTAGACTAACCCGATACAATTTCTCAAGCATTACTTCGTGTCTATCTTACCTGTTTCTATGGACTTAAAGGCCACGCTGACGAGATCAGGGAATCGACCTCGCTCTGCCATCAATCCTCTGGAATCCTCATACAATGATTTGGTGAGTTAAGAGAGAGAGAGAGAGACATGCTTTTGGTGGTGATTGGTGGTCTCTTCCAAGGGCATATTCGATTGGTAGGATTGTGATCCCGATCCACCAGATCCACTGGATTCGCACCGTTTCGATTGGTCGAATCCGGATCCGGTCAACCCACCTCAGGGAGGGTTGACCAGATCCAACGGATCCAAATGTGACCTTTGTGCGTATATGGCGGGCAAAAATCATTTTGTACACATTTCTGTACACATTGTGGTACGCACACGTGACACGTACACGTGGAGGTTGTTGACTTTTTGTACGACGCACGCGATGAGTACGACTTTCACCCTTTTGGGTGGCTCGTGAGCGCCATTGTATTACTTCGTCAACATAGCAACAGTCAAGGTCGAAAATAAAGTGTTCAGTTGACTCTGAAGGATCCAAGGGATCTGGGATCTGGATCCCGATCCCGATCCTTATCAATTGAACATGCCCCAAGACTTAGCACTTTAGCATATACCATGCGGATTCACTACTATGCAGATGTATGTCCCTCTCGAGCATACCATGTGGATTCACCCCCCCCCCCCCCATGCTATGCAGATTTACTTTCCTTCTTGAGCTTTTTGCCTTTAAAATAGAAAACAATTAGTCTGACACGACATTCTGAAATTTTCAATCACAGTCAAATTGACATATGCGAATGTGCTTGCATAGACCGGACAAGACAATGTGGCTCGACCAGCTACTGTGCTTGATTAGAACCAATAATATCACGGCATGCAAACTCTGAGGACACCAGCCAGGGCAGTCAGCCAGCTACACGGGATGTCAGCGCAGCACTTCTAGCAAGGATTAATGAGGAGGATCTCTTTGAGGTGATTTCGTTGCTCGAGATTAAAAAACGATGCTTTCTTGACCCAGAATGTCCTGTGCTCTCTTGCTTTGGCTAAATTCTCCATTTTGGTTGTTTTGTGTGTGTGTGTGTGTGTGTGTGTGTGTGTGATGTGTAGGATGAGCAATCTAGTGTGCAAGATGGTGATACTCATGAGTATAGTGCAGCAGAGGTACGGAATGCGAAAACGCATTGTGTGTGTGTGCATGCGTGTGTGCGTACGTGTGTGCGTGTGTGCGTGTGTGCGTGCATGTTCAAACCATCTGTTTGTTCGACAGTATGTTCAGCTGTCCACATGTGTTCACAGGCTTGCTTGTTTTGATGTGACCGTTCTAGGTCACGGTACACACACACACACACACACACACACACACACACACACACACACACACACACACACACACACACACACACACACACTTATCACCGTCATGGATGATAGCAACCGTCACTTCAAAGTGTGTACAGTCGTTCCTCTCTAATCCGGCACTTGTTTATCCGGAACCCTTGCCAACCGGCGCACTTTCTGACGAAACCGATTTTTTTCGTTCAATTCCTACATCTTAATCCGGCACTTGAATTCCGCCTCCGGCAGTGACTTTTTGAAACGAATCGCTCAAACTGCACGTAGTTTGATTTCATAATCCGGCAGTCGTAAATCGACTGTGCGTGTGTGTGCAAGAGTACGTAAACATGTTCTCTGTTTTACTTTATCACTGTGTATATTCCTGGAGAAAAGTTGAGAATATAAAGCCGTGCACCAAATACTGGGGTCGACACGGAAAACCCTGCTTTTGGACGTATGATACATGCATGCAATTGGGTAGGGCCGGGTCAGAGGGCAGGATTTCTTAATCCAGAAACCTCGTTAATCCAGCAGAAAATGCCGTAGCAAAAGGTGCCGGATTAGAGAGGGACAACTGTATCTTCAGGTATCTACCGTTCTGGCCAGAGGAATCCAGCAACATGAATAAAGTGACACCTCACTCAAGTGAGCATATTGTTGTGTGTGTGTGTGTGTGTCGTGGTGCTTAGGCTGCATAGCCATCAACACAATGTTAATCATGAGACTGGACTTCTCTGGGTAGGACTGCACCTCATGAAGACAGTGACAGCGCGCTGAAGTGAGCAGAATGGTGTTTGTGGTGCTAGGACTGCCTGGCATCCGCACTGCTATTATATTCATAAGGTTGGGTATCGCTGTCCAGGACTGTACCTGTGCAGACTTTGTCCATGTGCTGCTCTCGTTCCGCTCTGCAGGGATACCTGCCTCTGAAAACAAGACCGAATCGGCGCTCCAAGGAGTTTTTCAAAAGCTGCATCATTGATGAGGACCTACCACTGAAAGATCAGTTGTGAGTTGCTGGACATCAATCCAGCATAACATGTTTTCCGGAGTATATTACGCACAGGAGTATACCCCGCACCCAGATTTTTTTCCACGAAATACGGACATCTACCTTTATGTTAAACTCGGACTGCCAAATCGCCGTCAGGTCCCCGAATGTCTCCGTACTTTGTCAGTTTTTTTAAAGTCCGGCTTACAGCCGGTAGACGGATAGTTTTCACAGAGCAAACAGCATTTGTAGCAAAGCAGGAGGAAGATATGTTGTTTCAGTCCTGCCTCTCCATGATCATAATCCAACACTATTCCTTTTTTAGTTTAGCAGTAATGATTATGTGAAGGGAAGCCAGTAATGCAACACAATGTTAGATGACGCTCCACAGCATTGTGCGTGTACCGGTATTCATGCAGGCTGCAAAGGACCGCACAATGTGATTGGTAGATGAATGCAGTTAAGTGCCATGTTTTTAATTTGGCTCGGATGTCATTGGGCAACATTTTGAATTGGAGCATTTCATTAAAGGCCGTATCTTTATAGGAAAGGTGTTTTCTCCCGACAACGTAGGTCACGCTTTTCCGCTGACTGGACTTAAAGCAAGCTCCGGTGTGGGGAGCAAACACCTTTCCTATAGAGCCATCGCCGAAGTCGCGACCACTATCTCATACTGTATTTTTATCTGATGGGTTTTGTTTGATTTTCCGCCTTCAGTTGGTTTTATGAAGATCTCACACGTGAACAGGCAGAACAGAGGTTGGACTGGGCCGGTGGAAATGGCTTCTTCCTCGTACGCAAGAGCAAGACACCGGGCGTGGAGTGTGTCCTTTCGTTTGTGTAAGGATCGCTTGCTTTGGGCGAGGTGTACAATTGTACACTGCTAAGTTGTATGTTCGTGTAGGCATTATCGTGTGTGCCCTTGTTTGCGAGTTTGTGTATGCGTATGGGCACGTGTATGTGAGTTTGTGTATGCGTAGGCGCACGTGTGTGTGAGTGGGGGCGGGGGAGGCATGTTCATGCATGTTTGTATCAGGGAGTAGTACAATACGTTCTAACGAGAGAGCTTGGAAGCTCAGGGCCCTACTCTATGCTTTTTTGCCTTGATGACCTAGACAAAAAAAACTATCGCGCGCCCTGCATGCATCCCCCGATACACTTCGCATACATACTAATTCTTCCAAGTTGCTTCACATTATGATCTTGCATTTGAAAGCCCTATTTGAATATGCATTGTGGCCAGCCGTCTTTGATGGTACGGTACGGTAGGGGATAGGTACGGGACAGGTACAATCGAGGGTAATACGACACCGTCTCCCGTACCGTACCATCAAACACAGCTGGCCACATACAGCTTTTTTTGCCGTCAGATATGGGATAGCGCCAGGCGTGACACAAACAAACAAACAAACACACAAACAAACACACAAATACCAAATTAAAGCTGTGTGGACCCTGGCTAGCGCCAGACGTTACTGAAGTAACGTCTTCTGCATAGCTACGGGAATAATTATATTGTACTACTCGCTGGTTTGTATGGTCTTTCATGGTGTCGTTACAAACGGGAGCCCAAATCCAAAAACATCCTCGATTTCATGTTGAAGAAAAATGAATTTATTGCAATTTAAAGTTTGCACTTTATTATGGACATGGTGAGTGATCCACCACAATCATGCACGCGTGGTAGTATCATATATTATGTATCTTTTTTACTTGGTCCGACTTATTAAAATGTGCGTTTCGCTTCGAACGTCAACCAAACGAATTCAAAAAATCTCAGGACGGAAAAAACTATCCAGCTACCTAACACTATCCTTCAGTTGTCGATTTGTGATGTTGAAGAAGAAATGGCTCCAACTCCAAAGGAGGCAGCGCCTCAGGATCCTAGTCGTCTCGGGCATTTTGCGTCCAAATGTTGTCGTAAGAAGACTCCTGTTGCTTCTCGCGCAACACAGAGAAGGCCTGATGCTGAAATCAACACCCCACTGCGATGGGGAATTGTCATGGAGTACCAGAAACTCCTGGGCGATCATTCTCGAGTGCCTCCTGGCGGAATGAAATCGCTGCAGTCGCTGTTTTCTTGGCAGAATTTCAGCAAGCGCGTCATCCAGAAATTCGTGCAGAAAGCACCAGCATCGCTCCGTCCCGTTTGCTGATCTCTCTCGCAGTCCTACACGATGTGGCTGCCGACTAATCAAGATCACAGAAGAGATCGTCTAGAAGTTGATCGGAATAAATAACCGCCCTTGAGGTCGACTTTCAGGCGACAACCTGGCTGGAAAACTGAAGCGCAGGAAGGGTGAATTATCCTGTGGATACGGTGCGTGACTGGTGCAGAGTCCTCGGAGCTGCGATCGCGATGCGTCACAAGATCGCCAGTCTCCGGGGCCTGTGGATTCGTGAAATAGGCAGGGAAGAGCACGCATTGTCTGACTGCATGCATGACAGTCATGTCGACACAGATCAGACTCAGAACGCCCTCGGCACACGGGGATGAGAAATGATTTTTGTATGCGTGGTGGTTTACTTCTTCGCCTCTTTTGAAGGTGTTGCGGGAGCGTCAGGTGAAAACACCTATAGCCACCATTCTGGCAGTCGTACTGCACGAGGAGGAGGCAATGTCGGTCGTCTAAATCGTGCATATGGAGTGAAAAAATCAAGGAAGCGCAGTGTAGCTTGGAGGAGATGAAAAAACTGTCGACGTTTTGCAGGTTAACGCACTTGCAGATGCGCCCTGAGACACCAGCAGCG